TCCTGCTGCGTCAGAAAAACTCAGTTTATATTCTGTTGGATTGAGCCTTACATTAATCTACTATAGTACTTTTATTTTAAGTGCAGGGGTGTAGCCATACAGCTATGCAGCCTTATAAAAAAATAAACCTAGGCTTCATTTAGGAAAATAAAGGTTGGGAATACCGGCTTTGTTAATTAATAGAAGTTCAGTGTGAGGAATATTTAGGATTTAAATGTGCTAATATAAAGTACTAATTCAAAGACAAGTGACAGCCACATAGCAGACCCTCTGTTGTTACAGATAAGGCATTAGAATAGGATTTGTGCTATCTGGATGCCATTGCTTTTTCTTTTATACTGCATTACTGCATACCTGGGACCAGCCATTTCCCATGTCTGATCCTCTCAGTATTTGTTTGTCTGTTGGTCTTGACAATAAGGACAAATATATAGCTCTTTGCAAGAACTGAAAACACTGTCATTAAAAGGACACAATATAAATATCCAGGTTTAAGGATAAACTGGAAATTCAGTGCTCCTCTAGCCATGCCATCTGCTGAGACCTATAGGCAGAGCTTCACTCGTAGTATCTAGAGATAAAGCAATTTGTAGCACAGGGGAATAAAAGTATCTCTGCAGCAGACAGATTAAGCTGCTTTTTTTTGCATTCTAATCTGTTAATCACGGACAGGGCTTAAGTACAGCTCAAGGCAGACCAGACATTGAATGATTTAATTTTGCGCTCTGTATTGAACCGGATTTAATTTGAAGCTATGCTGTTGCCCGCTGCTCAGCAGATCTTCAAAAAAATGAATGCCCATAACGAGATTTCTGCGATGAATCAGGGATTGTGTGCTTAAAATGGGTCACGGGACTGGCCTTGCCAGGCCCCTGTGACAGCAGCTGCATTTATGACAGTCATGCGGGCTAACCTTTGCAGAATTCACTTGAGGGTCCAATCTGGAGGCACTCCATTTAAAGTACTTACCAGCCTTTTCTGTTTTGGTTTGTTTGCTTTTTATCTGTTTAAAAAGAAGTGACGAGGGTCAGTAGCTTAAAGCAACTTCAGCCAGCACAGAAAGCAGAGAATAAAAATTACAAGTGGGAGTCATGTTTGGAGGTGAAGGGGTGGAGTAATAAACCCCAGGACAGCTAAGAGGGTGGAAGCTGGTGGCCCTGCCAGCCCTGGAGAGAGTCTGCTGCGATTCACAAGGAGAAGGGGATGGGCCCCATTTTCAGGAGCTGGAAAGGGCTGGGATGCTGGGAATGCCTAAGTGTGGTCTGGCACCCACAATGCACATAATTGCTGACAGTGTCACAGCAAATCCCGAAGGAAGAGAAACAACCAAACATGGAAGTATGCTTTGGGACAAGGTGGAAAACTAGCTAAATAATGGAGACTGCTAAAGCATGCTGAAAAGAGGTTTCTAATAATTTCAGGTTTTTTGCTTTTTTAGTTTCTGGAAGCCTGTGAGCTCCTCCTGCAATGCTGTCACCAGCAAAGGCTTTCATGATTTCTTTTTTTCTTTTTTCTCTGTGTGTGTGAAAGATTTTAGAGATGAGTGCACCTAACACCAAAAGATTCACTGGCCAGGCCTGGAGATGCTGTGCTTCTTCAAGGTAGGGTCAGATATTCATTGCAAGATGCAGGACAGTGTATTTTAAAGTGATTGGTGACTGCACCACACCTTTGTTGATGCTGTGCACAGAAGAACATACTTCTGAGACTTACTCCTGATTCACATCAGCCATGCTGTGGCGTCCGCTGCTGTTCCTTAACTCATCTCACACATGGGACTTGGAAGTGCTGACCAGCAGCAAAGCCTGTCTGCTCCTTTCGGGCAGTGACTGTTGACTGCTGTGAACATTTCTGTTGGCTTGGAACATAAGGAAATATTTTTGTGAGGAATTAAGAAATTAAATGGGACTAACCTAAAATATTCAAGTAAATAGGTCTGTTAGATCATCTACTCCCTCCCCACACAAGCTGGCTTGCTTCATTTAGCACAGTGAAAAATACACGTATTGCCTTCCATGATTACCTGATTTAAAACTGAACAGCAAAGTGGAGAATCAGATCCCTCGTGAACTGAATATATCAGGAAAGCAATACAGAGATTAAATATAAAATTATCAATGCCAACCTAATGCATCCATCTTTCTTTCTCTACCTGTTTCAGAGTAAGACTTTCAATAGTCACCAGGCAGTTGGATGGTTTGCTTTTCCTTCTCTCCTCAATTTCCTCTTAGCCATGTTCGTGGCTTGGTTAACAAAATGTATTTGCATAGTTTTGGCATACATAGTACATTTTTGGCATACAAATTGGAAAGGAATGCTAACCACCGGAGGGAAAACTGTGTTGTGGAGATGAATGCATACCACACCTCACAGCCCAGAGAGGGCTATAGCTCTTCAGTATGGTAGGTCGGTTTGGTGGTGGGCTGGGGAAATTAGGAAACAACTTCTGTATTCACTGTCACCGTACTCCTAAATATTTTCCTTGGGTTTAGTGATAAAATCCTCAAGGCTGAAAATGTTGAAAAGGGAAAGGTCATATAAAGCAATAAACTCCTTCCTTCTTCTGAGCAGCTATCAGTCCAAGACAGCTTCCATGGGTGTCCATCTGTCCAAGCTACTTGCTGGTACTTAGTAGTGTTATGAACAGATGAGAAAGGTTACTTCTGTTTTGTTTTGTTTTTTTTTCTTGTAAGTTCATGTATGTTTCATTTAAGTATGGAGGACATTTTAAGGCATTTTTTTGGGGTGGGAATTATGGCCATTGTAGGTCAAGGTGTTTCTGAAAGGCCTAGCCAACCGCATTAAAACACAAACCTGAAGAATACTGAAAACCAAGCCCCGTGATGATTACAAGGTATTCCATTCCCTCTGTACTGCAATGAGCCGATGGGCAGTTAGATGCTGCATCTGACAGCAGTTGCAGAGGATCGCTTTCTTTTCGTCACACCTCCGTACTTCTTCACATCCTATCTGCCCACTTTAATCTCTGACTCATGAACAGCTTGGAGATGACTACACTTACTCCTCTGAGTTGATCTATTTCCAGAAATTAGGGGCAGAATGACACTTTCAGGCAAAGAAGGTGATCTCTTCCAAGTTAGTTGCTCCTCTGGCCATCACAGTCTCCTCAGAAACACACCATTTTGGATGCAGGCCTCCATTTTACTCTTTTCCTATGGCAGCTGCACACTTACTCCCTCAATCCCAATGCACTTTATATTCCTCAGCAGCTCAGACATCAGTTCAGCATCTGCTGGTCCAGTCACAGAGGGATAAACAAAATGATTATCCAGTAATTGTCTCTCTCTCATCATGCAAAAAGCTGTTTATTCCCTTCCTAAGACCCACAGTTTCAGTCCATCTCTTGCTGAAAGTGGCCAATCGCACAGAGATGAATATCTTAACAAAATTAGGGTTATCTGCAATAGGACCAATCCTTCAGTGAACTTTCCTTTGCTTTTCTGACAATCTCTTAATGAGCTCCCACATGTACTATCATGTCAAAGCTTGCATTTTTTTCCCCAGATGAGTAAATGGAGCAACAATATCTCTGACTCCTCATGAATATCCCATTTTCATTTCAAATGCTGCAAAAGACTGGACTTACAGCTAGGTTGTGTACATGCCTTTAGGGGCAGCTGCCTTTGGCTGCTCCAGTTTTACACGTCTGCAGTTTGACTGGGCTTCACAGAATCACTGTCAGGTTGAGGCTGGGAGGGACCTCTGGAGGTCTTCTGATCCAACACGTACTTCATCTTCTTACTTGGTTTTATACATCTATTGTGGAAGCATTCACAGCTGAGATGATCATCTTGTCTATCCTCTACAGTTAATGGAGAGAAACTGGCAATTTCAAGGTGCGGTTGTTTCATCTAGGACAAATACCAGGTTTCAAACAGGATGAGTCATGCCCAGAAACATCTGTTGTTCTTCATTGACTGTAAAGACGGCCCAATACCAAAGCAGATGTCTGCACTGGGAATGTCGAATCTGAGCCAGTTTACCCTCCTCTTTTAAACTCTCCCAACACCGCTCTATACACTTTGTGGTCTTCCAGATTGCTGCTGAACTTGAAAATGTCACCCATGAGGATTGGGTCTAATCTGCATTGTTCTGTCTGAATTATTTCACATTTTATAAATGTTTTGAAATTCCAACAAAGTGATGAAGGCAGACGTTTCCCATGCATCTTCACATCCACTGTTTGCTTACTAGGAGTTCTTACAGAAATCAAAAGGGCTTCTGTGTATTGTCCATATAGGTCAAGCAGGATGAATACAGCACAGTCTGAGAAAACTCTTGGTGGGAAAAGTGGAAATGGAATACTACCATATTTTAGGCATGTCTGTTCCTACTTACACTCATGCATATCTTTGGTAATTCACTTTCCTCTTCCAGCCAAGTCACTTTTTTTCTGCTGGATGAAGAGCAAAGTCCAGTGCTTTTCCTTTTCACCACCCTTTAAATAAGAGCAATCTGTTTCTACTTGCATTTCCTTGAAAAAAGTGTATTTGCTGAACAATATCCCCACCTCAGACATAGCTTGTGCACTTAACCAAGTAATTGCTTTCTGGCAGCCTTTTCTGAGAACCTGCTTTCTCTTTTGAAAATGTCTTTCTGTACATTTCCTGTGCATGTGAGAAAGTTTCCAGTGGTTTTGACTGTTCCCCACTGGGTTGATACCCTTAGACTTAAAGATGCAAGATCCTCTTTTTGCATCCAGGCAGACTTCCTCTGAGCCCTGCCTATATGAAGAGCAGATTCGATATGACAGACAGATGTCTCAGCCTGTGCAGTACAGAACTCTGCTACTGCTGGCTTACTCTGGAGACCTGCCTTCAGTAAAGTGAAGCACTCTTCAGCCTCTCCTTGCTTTTTTTTTTTTTTTTTTTTTGTATTATTTTAGTATTAAATTCTTTGTGTTTGGACACAGGAATACAATCTGAGCATTTGGTTAAAATTTAAGGTAACCAAGTTGAGCTTTCTTCATAAGAACTTATTCAAGTTTCCAGTAACATTAAAAAAGTTGTATCTGCCCTTAGATAGCAGATTATCTTATTTCTCAGTATTCAGCTTTCATACCTTAGTTTCATGATTCTTGGAAGCTGCCTCAGTTTATTGTCATCTGCTTCTCGGTCAACAACTTCACTGCATTGCTGATTTTGTTGCTCTTTGTTACAGTTTTTTAATTTCCACCTCTTTCCTCTCTTTAAAAATTACTATTATTTTTATATGTTTCATGTTTTATTTAGCCAGTATTTGATTGGGCTGGCTTCTCTCCTACTTTGACTTGCTTAGAAGGCAACTTTTCCACTTCTTTCACAGCTCCTCCTCAGATTACTTTCTTCCAGAAGGTAGCAGGGCAAACTCTAATTGAAGCATATGTAGCTTAATGCCATAGGTGCAATTTAGCAAAAGTTTATTTTATTGCTCTCCTCTGAAGTTAGGCCACCTGAGCTATTGCCAGCTTATGCTGAAAATGTTTTCCAATCCAAATGACATTTCCCAGATGACCAGATGAAAAGTAAAATAAATTAAGAAACTAGCAAGCAGATTCAGAAAACAAACAAAAACAACGAGAGCAACCACAAACTTTATTTGCTATCTGTGTTTGGACCAATTCCCAAAGTCCTCTCCATGTTTTATTCAGCTAGGAGCTGTCAGGACATGTCTGCAGCTGGCTGGAGTCAGGAGCTGATTGCCTTGACAAGCTGTATGTCCTGGCACTAGCCCCTGAGCTACAACCTGCTGTTTACAGCAAAGAACTCCTGATGAATTCCTTGGCGTACTGGTGATTCAGCTGAATATAAACCCACTTTTGGAGAAGTCCTGACACTTCAGTTTTAAACATGGTATTAATTTATTACTCCCTCAATTTCTGAAACATCGTCTCAGATAGCATTAGCTTGTGATCTACCACTGCACTCTGGAGAGCCCAGGCTCGCCACCTGGCCTGACCTCTGTTAGTATCAACTTAACAATAGACAATTCACTTACCTTGTGCAAATGCCTCCCTTTTGACAGGGAGGTTAATTAAAAGCTGAATTTATGAGAATCCAAGCATATAAATTTTCTGTATCGCAGGCCTCAACAGCTATTTCTTTTACATCTGTTTTAGCGCTACATTAAATTGTTTATTATTAGCTTTAGACAAAGAGTAATTATGGTAACTTGGGAACTGTCCCAATTACAGCTTGCACGAGCCCTTTTTTGCTGACAAAGATGACAAGTTTGAAGGGGCTTTTAAGAACTTGGAAGTGATAAAAGTGAGGTGCTCTTCCTTAAAAGGGTCAGAGTGTCTTCTCAGCATTATAAAGCAGAGCTGAGTCCAATAAAAATAAGTAGGTGTTCCTGCTTCAGAAGGATGTTCAAGCATACAGTGAACAGGCAGGGCAGGAATTACTTGTCTTCAGACAAGTGCTTGTATGGCTTGTGGGACCTATAGGAGTAGAAGTTACTAATGTACACCTGATTGTAAGAACAACCTGCTATATACTCTGGAACCTGTAACCCTCTACAGCTTTTCTGCTGTTCATGGCAGCAGAAACTGGGTTCAAAATTATTAGGATCCATCATGACAAACGATGGCAAAGCCAGACAGCTTATATCCTTTCTCTGAAACCTTTCCAAACTAAATATTCACTCATCCAAAGCCCTTAACTCTCAGAACTTCTTCACCCATAAGTATGCTAAGGCGGTGTACAAGCAAGAGAATCTTTATTATATAAAAATAACCACACTCAGGAACTTGCACAAAAAATACAGAAAAATACAGAGATCAATTTTGACAGAAGCTTATCTGCATCCAACTCCTTTTGTGTGATTTCCAGATGGCATCCATCTTATCACTTGTTATGGAAGTCATGCTGGTGTCCTAAATGTGTCTGTCGATCATCTTGCTGTGCTTAATACTGATGTGGGCTTGTCCTAGTTAGAATTCTTGATGTTGTAAGAAGATCCTCCTCTCAGGATTTCCTAGGAGCATTTACTTTGGAGGAAAAAAAAAAATCAGTCTTTTTATGAGTCACCCTAGTAGTTTTCCATGTCCCCTCTCCAAAAAAACATGAGGTCTGCACTGAAAGGATATATTTCTGGAGCATTCTTAACTTTTGATAGTTGCTTGTTGCTTAGACATTAATTGCTCATTACCTGTGCAGATAAGTAAAACTATTTTTTTCCTGTTCTTCCTGTTATGCTTCCCTATGCATTCAGGTGTACCCTTTAATTTCTGTTATTGAAGAAAAAAATTATTTGCACTGAGTAGTATTTTTAACAGATAAGGACATTTGAAATAATTAAGATAATCCAAAGAATCCAGCTACTCGCTATAGTTACCTTCTTCACGGCCAGTTGTGTAGAAATAGTACTGCAGTTTGGGTGATGTGCATCACACCTCTAAATATGGAAAAGCCATCAGCGGCAGGTGCCACTCTATGTGAGTATGGCTTATGTCCAAACTACTAAATCCTACCAGTACCTAAGCTGCTATACAAAGCTCACTGCCCTAGCGCATATGGAGATGGTCCATAAGTGGAAGGGCATCACTGAATCATATGTGTCAGCTCTATGAAGAAGCACTTCAGTTTTGCATTGCTGGGCTCCTTATAGCATTGTGCTCCTTACTGCAGCTAGAGTGTGGTCTAGACACATCTGTGTAAACTAGGTGTAGAAATCTATCTGAACCTGACAGATTGAGGTTATTCATTTGGGTTCAGAGTCATGAGAAAGTGTTTACAAGGCTTCTAGACTTTGACCCCAAAAGCAGTATTCTATAATCATACTGTCTGGTACCCAAGCTAGTAAGATATGCATAAAACCAGCCCGTATGTCTCTGCACCTGTAGCACTCTTCTACGTAAGACCAGCAGAAAGTGTCAAGAAAACTATATACCCTCCAGCCACTCCTGGTGACCTGCTTAGCTGTTCTACACAGAGATCAGGATATTCTCTGGGGACTGCTTGTTTCTTTACTTGTTTTACATTCATAAAGCTTGCTATGGTCTTTCCTGCTGCTTCCTGTTAAGCTGTTTTGCTATTGCTGTTATTCTCCCCACTTCATAGGGAGTTCTCGTGTTTTTATGTTTTGCTCTTCACAGCTGCTGTTCTGAAGCTGAAACAGCTTTTCAGTTATAGCTGAAACATTGATTCTATCTTCTACTGGTGGACTACTGGAGAGGTGTCTGTTGGCTCATTTAAATGAGCTTCTAGCTACATGCTAGTGTCATGACCATGTTCAACCGCCAACAGGGCATGTATATTTGCCTATAATTACGAGATTTTCCAGAAATGTCTTTTTGAGACATACTCTGGAGAGTTTCGTGACATTTTATATATTTGCAAATAAGAGATCTCTGAACCAAAAGCGTATTGACACAGCAAAATCTGACTTAACCATTCACCATTTTGATTAGACTCAGAACCAGTTCAAACATGCCCAAGGCTTTAAACTAACCATCCTTGTTATTCTGCATTGAAATTGCTACCTAGGCACTAGATGTCATTCCTAAAGACCTCAAGGAACACATGCTGTAGCAAGTTATAACAGGAACCTTCACTTTTTCTGTTTTTAAAATAGGTTTTCAATACTGCATGTTTGGATTTCTGATCTAGAAATAAACTCTAGTGGATTTTTACTGAGGGGTTCTCCCTAAGTCAATTCTTGCTCTGCCTCCAACAGCACTGTGGCAGTGCTGGTAGGCTTCTGTTACAGAAGTTCTGGAGGTGGACAGCAGAAATTCCTGTTGTGATGTATCATTTGCTTGAACTGGCCCACCTGGTAAGAGTAATTTTAAGGCTATTAAAAGCAGTCTATTTTACCGGACATTTTACTGGTTTTCCTCATTAATCTCACATTGTTCAATTCAGTTTTCATTACTGATATGATCTACAGGACTTCTCAGGACCTGGCTTTCTTCTGTGTTTTGGCAAAAGGTCATTGCGTTCTTCAGATTAAGCTGATCTCTTGTTGAGGCCAGCTTGGCTCCCAGATTTCTTTCAGCACTGAGACTTGTTTTATGCAATTGGAAATTCTCTGAGCATAGAAGTGTTGGGTGAAGATGAAAATATTATGTCCTCCTTAGGAACAGAACTAATTAGGATTTATCACTTGGGAATGACCTGCTAAAAACCATTACTATGCATTCCCAAATCCTCCCTCCTAGACTGTGTTTTTTGGGGAAGGTGATGGTGGGTAAACTCTAGTTAGTCTCATAACTCTGATGGAAAATTATATAAATAACAGGATAAACACACCCCCCCGCCCCCCCCACTGCTCCCCAAATTTAAACACTTGTGGTATCTCAGACATAGATCAGCTGGATTATGCTGGTTTTGTATGGGATAGAGTTCATTTTCTCCATAGTAGCTGTTCTGGGGCTATGTTCTGGATTTGTGCTGGAAACAGTGTTGATGACACGGGGATGTTTTTGTTACTGCTGAGCAGCGCTTACACAGTCAAGGCCTTTTCTCTTCCTCACCCCACCCCACCAGTGAGTAGGCTGGGGGTGCACAAGGAGTTGGCAGAGGATACAGGCAGGACACCTGATCACAACTGAACCAAGGGGTACTCCATACCATATGGAGTCATGTTCAGTATATAAAGCTGGGGGAACGAGGAAAGGGCAGATGTGTGGGGTGATGGTGTTTATCTTCCCAGGTAACCATTGTGTGTGATGAAGCCCTGCTGTCCTGGGGATGCCTGAATAACCTGCTTGCTGACAGGAAGTGCTGAATGAATTCCCTATTTTGCTTTGCTTGTGTGTGTGGCTTTTGCTTTACCTGTTCAACTGTCTTTATCTCAACCCATGAGGTTTTTTACTTTTGATTCTCTCCTCATCCTACCAGGAGGTGAGTGAGCAGCTGTGAGGGGCATAGGTGCTGGGTAGGGTTAACTGACAACATGGATGAAGATTACTAGTTCCCAGATCATGTGGACAGAAGGGCTAGTAAAACCTTCATAATTTAAGTAAGTTATGCTTGCTAAGCACCTCCAAAAGGATGTATTTCCTAAGCGTAGCAAGACATGTAAGCCAACTATATTGTAAGGCATAAAGCAAATGTTAATTTCTGTAAAACTGCAGTCATGATCCTTTTTCTATAGTGTTGTGCTACCTGCACAAGTTGTGGGACTAAATTGCGTGCAGACATCAATTTCATCCCCGCTAATGCAAAAGGTTTGTGCAGTATACAAGTGTGGGATTTGGTGCAGATTAATTGATTTTAAAAGGAAAATTCATGAAGGATCTTAATCTCCAGCACAGTTCTCTACTAAAATGGATGCACAGAGTTCTGCTTTTTTGAACATACAGAGAATCAGACAAATTGGCAGTTTTCATCACCAAGCTCCTTCTCACCAAACACCCTACAAATGTCTCTTCTCACGATCACACTGCTATGTTTGTTTAGACTGCTCTGAGGTCTGTCTACCTCTTTCACCATCTGGACTATCTCTCATCCTTCCAGATGCCACTGGATCAAAACAGTTCTTAGAAAGAACTGTTCCTTAGAAACTTCTGAGCAGCTGTCATTTTTATTTCTTTTAGGCAGGGATATTACCAGTGCTTTGGGTACGAAGGACACCTTAATCTCTGCTGCCAGCTCAGATAAAGGAACTTGTAGACTTCTTTCAATTCTCTCAAATGAAAAATGAAGATTGCTTCCAATTATTTCAACTTGGTTTAATCCATCTTGTAATCATATTAAATTACCAGGTTTTCCACATTTTAGCCTACTATATAGCAATTATGTAATTTGCTATATGTTCATTAGACATTTTCAGGTCAAAGACAAACCCAAATTAATTCCTCATACTTCATTTATTCTTGAATGTCATTCTTACACTGTGTCTTCCATTCTACGCCTGGAAATCAGATTCAAATACCATCACCACCAATGGAGGCCCTACTACATGTTACAATTCCATTACTTAGATGAATAAAAAGAAATGGCCTTAAATAAATATTTATGCCCTAAATAAATAAATAAATAGAAACGCCCTTTCTGCTGTGACAGCTAGTGCTGTCACAGCTTGGAATAGGAAACCTCTCCAGCCCATTAGACAAGCTATTGCTCACTCCAGCACCTGAAATTATTTCAGACTTGCTGATTACCAGTACATCCAGGAGCTAGTAACCTCTGAACCCAGCAGTTCAGACACTTTTCAGTCCACCTCACTGTCTACTCATCCACAGCATACCTGAAAAGCTTTTCTATGAGGATCTTATGCGAGACAGCACTGAAAGTCTTGATGAAGTCCAGGCAGACACTATCCACTGCTCTTGTCTTGTCTACCAGGCCAGCACATGCCTTAAAAAACCTGTGATCAAGAGATTTTCAAAGTTAGATAATCTACTATTTCATAGATTGAAGAGGTTTACAAGGAAAGCTTATATGGCCAGATCCCTTCGTAAACAAGAGACATTTGTATTTAAATCTGAGAAGATTTAGATAGTCTTGAATGCCCAGATATAGGTTATTTTTTCTGTATGAGGAAAGAAGCTGTTATCACATTATTGTTTCTCTGTAATAAAATGATTGCACATCGGTGTAGCTGACAAAACCAAGCAACCATATCCCTCCACAAGTTGTAACATTTCTGCACATATGAACAGAATAACAACACAGATCCCAGAAGGATCTGTCATGAATGGAAACTTAAGCCAGTGCATTTACATTGAAAATAAAAATCAAGACAGTTCTAGAAGAAAAATATTTTTAGTCGGAAAGGGTACAATACAAGAAGAAAGCATCTACCTTTTTTTAGCCAAAATGAGAGCAACATATGGTGAAACTGTCTAAGAAAGTTTGAAGGCTTTAACGGGTGGGAAAAGTGAAGAAAGCAGAACCAGAATATAAATGGCAGGCTCCACAAACCATAAAACTTGCTAATGAAGGTCAAGCCCAGTTCCCACAGAGGATTAAAAGAATGATCCCTCAGCCTAATCCATAAACAGGTAAGAAACCCTGGGGGCCTGGGCAACCCCACTCACCTTTTGGAGTTATATTACTGAGAGAAAATGCATGAGAGAAAATGCATTAGATTCAAGTAAAAATCCAGAGTAAAGTAAAATTATTTCAGCAAAGCTTTCCATGGATTGAATTTCACTAAGCTACAGCCTACCTGTTGAACTGTTACTACTGAGTAACACTAGAGATATCTCAATATTCATATAATCATAAAATATCAGGTTGGAAAGGACCTCAAGGATCATCTAGTCCAACCTTTCTAGGCAAAACATGACCTAGACTACATATCCCAGCACCCTGTCCTGGCAAATCTTAAAAGTGTCCTGTGTAGGGCAATCTACCACTTCCCTGGCAGGATTATTCCAGTGGTTGATTGTTCTCTTTGTTAAAAGTTTCCCCTTAGTGTCCAATTGGAATTTCCCCGGGAGTAAGCTGTACGTTTTGAATACTGGAACATGGTGATAAGGTCTCCCCTGAGCCTTCCTTTCTCCAGGCTGAACACAACCAGTTCTTTCAGCCTTTCCTCATAAATCAGGCTCCCCATCCTTTGATCATCTTTGTGGCCCTTCTCTGGACCCTCTCCAGACTGTACACAACTTCTTCACCAACACTGAACACAGTATTCCAGGTGTGGCCTGGCAAGAGCTGAGTTGAGCGGCCTGATGACTTCTTTACCTCAGCTGGAAATGCCCTTGTTGATGTAACCCAGCACCATGTTACACTTCTTTGCCACAGCAGCATCCTGTTCACATCCTGTTGTTGTCCACCAGGATCCGCAGGTCCCTTTCCAAAGAGCTGCTCCCCAGCCAAGTAGATCCCAGCCTATGATGCAGTCTTGGATTGTGTCTACCCAGGTCCAGACCTTAGACTTGTGCTTGTTAAAACTTCATAAAGCTCTTGTTAGCCCACTCTTCCAGCCTACCCAGGTCTTCCTGCAGTGCGGCTCTCCCTTACCAAAGTGTCCACTTCCCCAGTCAGTTTAGTATCATTGGCAAACTTGGTCATAGTACATTTGATCCCAACTTCCAGATAATTTATGAAGATATTGGGCCCAATATGGATCCCTGGGGGACCCCACTAGTGACAGGTCACCAGTTGGAAAATGAGCTATTTGCCAGCGCCCCCTGTCAGGCAGTTCCCTACCCACTGCACAATATTCTAAACATGCTGTTGACAGTGAGATAGTGACCTGGGACACATGATTTCCATGTTCTGTGACTGAGTCTTCCATAAAGTCAAACAGCACAAGGTATCACAGCAGTACCATTACTGCCCTGATGGGATGGATCACATAAATCTAAGCTGAACCTCATAGCCTGTTACTCTCTGCGTTATTTAACTCGTACCAAACTATGTGAAAATCACACAACTCTTGCTTGTTCTTTGTTTTTTTTTTTTAAAAAGGGAGGATGGGGGGATGGGGGTGTGGTGTTTGAAGTCTCCTGCTAGACTCCTTTTGTTTCCATCTTTGTGTTCTGGCTGCATCCCTTAAGTTCTCCAGTAAGCCCAATATCTGCTTTCTCTTTCTTTATCCATTGTGTCACACGTTTGTGTTTGGGATTTGTTTTTTGTTGATTTATAAAGAAAACAGCTCTGTAAGGTTTCAGCAATATACCTACCTGAAGGGTGACTGCTGGCCAAGCCTGTCCTCCAAGGTCTGTAAGAAGAGATTACACATAGTCAGAACTATATCTAATATTCTACACTCTAGTCAAAACACTGCATAAGGTACATCAGAACTGTGCAATGATCTTTGCTGAAGCTGATGATAATGGTGTAATTAGAAGACTGGCAGTATGCATTCTGTTACAATAGATAACACCCTTGAATGAAAACTTAACTGCATATTAAATCCTAATTTTTAAGCAGACTTTGATACAACAGCAAATTCCTCAAATCACCCCTACTTTCCTGCTGTCTTAATTTCAGTTATTCAGCTTGGTATCCTTACAGTTTCTCTATCTGCACTCTTCTATCCTCTTTTTCCCTTATGACTACATCAAATCTTTATCGATCTTGCAACCAAGAGGCAAGCACAAACCACTATCAATTGCAGACTTAAAGTCAGTTTCAGCAGTTTTTTAAACATATCCTACATTATATTCAGTTGTGAAACTTCACCAAATGCAGAACTGAGAGTAAGAAGTTAGGGTGCACTTCAAAATCTGTTGTAGTAGAAAGTTATCAGATGACCTCCTTCCTGTGAAGGATAAAGATCAGGTACATCATCTTCCTGTTGCTTTTCAGACGTATTTTTGTGTAATTTCTGCTGTAAATCATGAGCTTATAGCCTTTTCTAGTACTCAGCTATCTGTATTGATTTTTGCATGACCATAAAGGAAGGGCTTACTCTTTACTGGTAGCTCAGCACTCACATTAGTCTCATACATGCTGAAGTTGGTGGTAAAGGGAAATATAGGGACAACGTATTTATGGTAAATAACAGCTTTCTGTAACCCCCTTTCAGCTACTTATTAAATAATTATTTATATAGATACACTGAAAATGACAAAAACCTAAAATCTGCAGTACTTCTTTAAACACAGTATTTTAAATATACGGTCCATCCATGCTGTGGAATTTATCCTGCTTTGCAGGTAACAGAGGTGACTGATAAAAGCAAAGGGAGACCTGAGTAGTCTGGCTTGTCTAACAGTTTACAGCAGCCTGACATGTTTCAACTCATTCATTCCTTCTCCTACCTCAGAGTCCTGCTTAACAAATTGGCTCTTTGGAGTTGAGAAGCAGGAGAGTGATTGCCTGCTCAGAGAAGCTTCCTTAAGAGATATACAGTTCAGCAGAAGACTTGCATTGTAATTTCTCTTCCAATATGCAACTGGACATGGGTGTTTATATGACATTACAGAGAGGGACACATCTCCCAATATGACCTAATGCTATGAGCAAGGGAGATCTTAACTGAAATATATCTAGTTCATAGCAGTGTGACCTGAAAGGACAGCTGGGTGAGAAGTGACAGTTACAACATGAAAATCAAGGAATATAAACTATTAAGCTTCCCAGCTTTAAATGTTATTTTAAAAAATAGCTTAAATTGCTTTCAGAGAGGGGCTTCGTGCCTTCTCCCTGCCCAGTGCTGCCTCCCCCAGCTGAAACAGAATACCAACCCTTGCTACTGTAAATTGGCAAAATGAAAATATAAATGAGGAAGCTTATGATGAGGGAAAGACCAAAAAAGCCCCACACATTTGTAGCGTTAAAGTCTTTTATGACTGAGGCAGCACAGATGTTATGCATTTATCCCAGCCCTCGTATCCTGTTTTGAAAACCAGCCATGGGTTTCTGATTTGCTAGCAACGGAGGGTCTATTTTTATTGCCTGGGGGCTTTAGGGTATGTGATTCTTCCCTCGCTTCTTGACCCCTCCAAAGAAATGTATCAGTGAATTGATCCACGTCAAAACTCCCGGCAAAACAGAAACAAGACTATCTTTAATCTGGATCCATTCCCTGATTCAGGTCACTGTGTTGCTCCTCTACAAACAGCAGTTGAGGGTGTGGTGTGAGGGGAAGTGGACTTACATGGGGCAGGCGGGACGCAGGAAACCTTTCAGACAGTGCTGTCATTAAAGCCATGTTTCATAGTACTCAGTGTGTCACAAGGCAGCTGTTAAGATCTGGAATGCTTCTCGCTGCAAAAAAATCTACCTTTCCTTTTCTGACAGGGTGCTGAAATGGGTGGCTGCCACACTCCTCACACCACAAAGGCACAGGTGACACACATGTGCTCCTGTCATGCTGCAAAGCCTGGAGCTTCCCCTCTGAGCACAACTGAAGAAATAGCACAGGTATGCTTACATATATAGGAGTTAAGTGATAACCAGAGTTACATTGTATAAAGAACACTTGAAGACTTAAGATCTTATAATTTTGTTTAAATGCCATTCACAGTATTCCAATTACTAATTGCAGGGTCTACTGACTGTGTACAACTTTAGTTAAAACCTAGGACAAATTATAGCTCAAAACATTGTTTGGCTACATCAACTAAAGAGTGAAATGACTGTTGCTCATCTAAAGTAGGAAATATCTACAGTGTCAGAAGAGATGTACGAGCACCAGGAAAGTTTTACAGACTTTTCCTTTGAATGTTTAATAAGGTAAGGCTTTATAAGAAAAGCCCAGGAGCAGAGCCCTTCTGAGCTCATGTTCATGCTAAGCATCCTGCCTGCGGGTGTAGTGAAGCCGTCACTTCCTTGCAGATCTACATCCAGAACCTAAAGTAAGATTTAGCCCACCCAGGTAAAAATGTTCTAATTTTTCTTAGTACACTGTAACTTAGAAGAATTTCAATGTGATTTTATTACTTTTAGGATTATGAAATTACGCTACTATATTTTTATATAACTCTTCACATTCCCCTGGTAAACTAAATATATTTTAAATTAAAAACAACATTTCTGAGGACTTCTTTCTACCTCTCCTCCTGATCAATTAGCTACTCCTGCTCTGCCAATACAAATGTTTTAATGGACAAAATAAATAAAAAACATTGGCAGGGTGGATTACAGTCCAGTATTTTTTGATGAGACCAAGTAAGATAAAGCTCAAAAACGAAGGACAGCACAACTGCATCAAAGCAGGGACTATTACAGGTATTAGTGAATAATATTTCCCACAGATTTAGTTAGTTTCTCTCTAGAAGGAATATCATGGCCAGGCTGTTATCTTTGTAGCCCTATAAAACCATATAGAGGTACAAACGCATTTTTTGCTGATCAGCCAATGTTTGACATGGAACTCGGACAAAACTGGTTTCTTACTCCAGTCTTGCGTGTATGCTTATGTCCTGTGTACCAAATGTTGTAGAATCATATCACAGAATTGGAGAATAGTTTGGGTTGGAAGGGACCTTAAAGCTCATCCAGTTCCAACCCCCTGCCACGGTCAGGGACACCTTCCACTAGACCAGGTTTCTCAAAGCACCATCCAACCTGGCCTTGAACACTGCTGGGGATGGGGCAGCCGCAGCTTCTCTGGGCAGCCTGTGCCAGCGTCTCATCACCCTCACAGTGAAGAATTTCTTCCTAATATCTGAACCTACCCTCTGTCAGTTCAAAGCTATTCCCTCTTGCCCTGCCACTACATGCCATTGTAAAAAAGCCCTTCTCCAGATTTCTTGTAAGCCTCCTTTAGGTACTGGAAGACTACTGTGAGGTCTCCCCAGAGCCTTCTCTTCTCCAGGCTGAACAAGACCAACTCTCTCAGCCTGTCTTCACAGGAGACCTGCTCCAGTCCTCTGTTCATTTTTGCGGCTTCCTCTGGACTCACTCCAACAAATATCCACTAACTGCGATTTATCTGCCATGCAAAATCATTTTAGTCAGGGAGGCACACAGGCACCTGCCTCAGTAGAGCAGGATGAGAGCCAGGCCTGTTGGTGCAGCATACACTGAAAAAGAGTCTTTAAATATGTACTGCTCCAAGTTAAGTACAATTGAAATGGGTTAGAGAGTAGCTGGTGTGACGTGTAGCACGGTGCCCTTGGGAAACCCTCCGAGTGATGGAATGTCCTATGCAAAAAGCCGACCCCAAATATGCCTATCAAGACAGGCACTGCATTTTGCTTTCCTCAAACCAACTCTGCCACCAGACAGAGCCAGCATCGGACCCTTAGATGGATGCCTACCGGTAGCTACTTCACTCATCCCGGGTGATCACGCCTTATTGAGATGTTTCTCTTTGACAAGCGACATTCCTGTGACAGAAAGCCGTTGCAGACATGGGGTCGGACGACCAGAGGTACTACAAGCGCGACCAGCACAAACCGACCAATACCCTTCCCACTATTAACCCCCTCGAAACCCCTCCCCTCTCAGTTTATGCGCACGCTCCCTCCCGAAATCCCGTTGGAGGGAGATTCTCGCGAGAAGTCCCAGGGAAACCTCGCGAGCAGTGCAGTTTCGCTCGGTGTGGTGGGGGTGTTGAGGGGTGGTTCGGTGGCGCCTCCCGGAGGTGTCGTCTCTCCTCTCTCCCTTTCCCGGTGCTGCTGCCATGGCGGTACCGCTCGTCTCTCCTGGACACCGCAGCCGCTTCGAGCAGGAGCAGGACTGGGCCGTCCGAGCGCTGGTGCGCAGTGTGACCGGCCTGCCTGAGGAGGAGCTAGGCAGCGATCGGTTCCAGGCTGCGCTGAATTTCGCTTGGTCCAACTTCAGGTCAGCGCCCGCCATCCCCGACACGGCACGAAGCCCCGCTGCTGCGGCGGCCTCGTGGTGCCCATTACTACCAGGGCTCGGGCGAGTAGAGCAGGCTACTCCGCCGCGCCCTGGCCGGGGTCCATCGACGCTGCTGATGGAACGAGCCCCTGGCGGGCTCGGTCTCCGACGCTGGGCAGGTGCCGGGGCACTGCGGTGTGCTGTGACCCGGCAGCGCTGTCACCTACTCGTCTGGAAAAAAGGGAGGCCCTGTGGCTGCTGAGGTGTGGCACAGGGCCATGGGCTGCCGTACCCACCGGGCACGGTGTCTGGGGTGAGAATGGGAGGTGTTTGTGAGTCCCTGTAAGAGGACCATTGGGTGTTATTCTGTCTCGGTCTTTTAGGGTTTTTCACCTGATCCATAAGAAAGTACCTTTCAGCATCTTCATTTAGCCATCCAAAATGTTTGTTGGAGGGAAGTAAAGCAATAATCAGTGTATGAAGATCAAATAAAGAGGACTCTACCAAATGCTGCGTTCGGCTCTGGGGCCCACAACGTAAGAAGGACATGGACATGTTGCAGAGAGGAGGGCCATGAAGATGATTAGAGGGATACAGCACCTCTCCTGTGAAGACAGGCTGAGGGAGTTGGGTTTGTTAAGCCTGGGTTAGAGAAGGCTCTGGGGAGACTTAGCAGAGCATGTACAAGGGCATGTAGTTGACAGGACAAGAGGGAATGGCTTTACACTGTAAGACATTAGGAAGAAGTTCTTCACTGTGAGGGCAGTGAGGCACTGGAACAAGTTGCCCAGAGAAGCTGTGGTTGCCCCATCCCTGCATGTGTTGGTTGGATGGGGCTTTGAGCAGTCTGGTCTAGTGGAAGGTGGCCTTGCCTGTGACAGGGGTTTGAAACTAGACGATCTTTAAGGTCCCTTCCAACCCAAAGCATTCTGTGGTTCTATGAAATAGCTATAAAGC